AACAATATACCCGTTCATGTGACCTTGAACGTGACTGTGAATTGCTCCTGTGGGAATAAAGATGTGTCAAAGGATTATGGATTGTTTATCACGTATCCGATGAGGCCAGGGGAAAATTTGAGTTATATCGCGTTGGTGACTAATACTAGCTCAAGGCTGATAGAAATGTACAATCCAATGGTGAATTTCAGTGCTGGCAGTGGGTTGTTGTACATTCCAGGCAAAGGTTAGTTCAGATTAAAGAAAAGAAGAAGAGTATTTGGTAGATTAGCTTTTTCTTTTATATAATATTGGACTGAGACGGACTTACATGAAGTAACATGGTCTGTGAAGATTCATATAGCATGAATCGCAATGCAAACAGACTCTGCTGAAGTAAAATTTAGGCAAGCATAGAAAATCCTGTTTTTAATGATTTGTGTCTTTTGTACAATGTTGCTGTTGTTGTGATGGATATTATATTTGATTGTAAATCCAATTTTATCTATGTATATACTTGTTTTATGCAGATAAACTGGGGAATTATCCACCTATACCAACCAGGTACAATTTTCAGATTTGAAGTAGTTATACATTGAGCACCTTATCTTAAGACATGCTTGCATATTCTTTAACTTATTTGGTCATCCATGTTTCCCCTGGCTTGCAGAAAAGGTGGACTACCCTTTCCTTCTCTTTATTTTGTGTTGATTCCTCCATTATTGCTTCTTGCTCCCAAATCAAGTTGTTGATGGAAGTGTTGTACAATGTAAGCATATTGATTATTCTGTATGAGTGTCTCATCAGGCTCATCAGGTAAAACAATAGCTGCATTAGCAGTAGCTGCACTAGCCGGAGTTTCGTTATTGGTAGGCATCATTTATGTGGGAATTTATAGAAAGAAGGAACAAAAGGTTGCAGCAAACATCCCAGCATCTTCTGGTCAATACCATCCACCTAGTCCTGGTAATTGTAAATCTTCCTTTTTCTTTTTCTACTTCTTTGCTCTTCCCAAATTTCGAGTTCAAATCTCCTTCTGAATGAAGCCTCCAGTTGAAAATGTCTATCATGGATGTTAAATTAAGCATTTTTGCGATTACCAGCAAAAATTCTTTCAACCCTGTCCTTTAGGATAGCCAATATTCTAATTCATTATCAAATTTCAACTTCATGGAGGTATCTAATGCTAGATTTATTACTCCCAATGTGCTTGCAATATGTTTGATCCGTGTGAAGAACCACTAGAACTTGCTTAGTTTATTACTCCAAACATATTCTAATAAATGTGGCCTAAGGCACTGACCTTGTTGATGGTGCTTCAGCAGGTCTTTCGGGCATACATGTGGACAAATCAGTAGAGTTTTCATATGAAGAACTTGCTAAGTCGACTGATAACTTTAGCATTTCGAATAAGATTGGAGAAGGTGGCTTTGGAACTGTTTATTATGCGGAGCTGAGAGGCAAGGTCTGCAGTTCATGTTTTTGTCTCCCCATGATGCAAAGTTTTGTTTATCTATTGTTAGAAATATATTGCAAAATCAGTAAGGAGAACACAATTCGATCATTCTTGCACTTGATTAAGTAAGATGTCTGAGTAGTCTCAACTAAAATAAACTGAAAAAGCTGTTAAAACAGTGTTATTAAGGGTAGCAATGTCTCTGCTAATTCTACATTTAAAACTACAGAAAGCAGCAATAAAGCGAATGAATCGGGAAGGAAGAACAGAATTTCTTGCTGAACTTATAATTTTGACGCGTGTTCATCACCTGAACTTGGTATGATCAATATCTTCTGTCACTTGTTTTATTTTGCTTATAATTTTATTTTATTTTTTTTGTTTTGTCAAGTATAATAAGTATTGAATGCCAGATATTGGAAGTTTAAGCAATATCTTTTAGAACTTCATTAGCATTCCCGTGCCTGGAATTCACATGTTTTGCTTATTTAGTTGATTGCTTTGAAGGAAATGTAAAGAGAGGGAAAAGAAATTGATTTTCTCACTCATAGCATGTCGTTTTACTAATTTTCACCCCTTTTATTTTAATCATTCTACTCCATATACATTGAGTTCGTAAAGCTGCAAGTTTAGTTTATAGTATGAGGGTATTGATAGATCCTGTAGGAGTTTATTTTCAATTTACAAAGGGAACCGTATTTGAAAATATGTCCATGAAGAGAGCGCATGCCTAAGAATGTGAAGGATGTTTGCACTTTAAATTACAAGTATCGAAATGCATGTATATCATTTTATTGATCTGGTGCGGAACTCAAATGTGATTGTATTATGCTTAATTTGTTTTCTCATTTGACTATTTCATCTGATGCTGAATTGCATGCAGGTGTCCTTGATAGGGTATTGTGTTGAGAGGTCCCTCTTCCTTGTATATGAATTCATTGAGAATGGTAATCTAAGCCAACATCTTCGTGGTACGAGAACTCTACTAGCTATAGCAATATGATGGAATAGTTCATTCTTTATGGTTTTCTTCTTATTTGTATTTGTGATGTTTATATGCTTACAGATTAATTGTTTGGTAAATCTATTTACAGGGAAAGACGTATTGACATGGTCAACAAGGGTGCAAATTGCAATGGATTCAGCCAGAGGTCTTGAGTATATACACGAGCACACCATCCCCTTTTACATCCATCGTGATGTTAAATCAGCAAATATTCTGATAAACGAGAACTTTCATGCAAAGGTATCTTTAACGTCCTCTATTAATTCTCTGTGTTTCAACAACTTCTCTAGTCTTGTAACTGGTTAATCACTCACAGATTGGAGATTTTGGCTTATCAAAACTTGTTGAAAGTGGAAATCCAACTCTGAATACACGTTTTATGGGTACATTTGGATACATGCCACCAGAGTAAGTTTTTTTTTTTTCACTGTATAAAGCGCGTCTAAAAGTATGTGTAGCTTCAGCTGTTCAAACCTTTTTACTTGAATAGAGAATCTGGCAATTAATACAAAATAGTAACAAATGCTAAAATTTGCAGGTATGGTCATTCAGGAGTTATCTCTCGTAAAGTAGATGTCTACGCTTTTGGTGTTGTCCTTTATGAATTGATTTCGTCCAAGGACGCAGTAGTCAAGGAAGATGGTGTTGATGAAGCAAGAAGCCTTGTTGCTTTGGTAACTTTTTCTTCAAATTTCTTCATTGAATGTTATTCATTGGCATTGAGATGACGTTGACATAAACTTTACTCCTCTGCATTTAAAATCTGACACTTTTAGTTTGAACCAGACGATGAGCTAATCGTGATTGTTCTGTGGTAATTGTAGTTTGATGAAGCTTATAGTCATTCAAATCAAATTGAAGCCATTTCCAGATTGATAGACCCTAAACTCCACGATGACTACCCCCTCGATTCAGTCTACAAGGTCCAATTATATCTCTTTAATTATTGCACTAGCTAGTTACCCCCTTTTCTTTCTCTGCTTCCACTTGAAGCAACACATGGTTTGTCTATTGCAGATGGCACAGCTTGCTAAAGCTTGTACGGAGAAGAATCCTGAAATGAGACCGACTATGAAATCAGTAGTGGTTGCTCTTATGGTGCTCTCATGATTGACAGATTGATATGTTGCTTTCACTCTATGGAAATTAAGATCAAAAGGCAGAAACAAGATCATGTTACATAATGTAAAGTATTTAAAGGTGTTAGGCTCAACAGATCTATAGGGATCACTTCACTACAGTCAGAGAAGAGCCCAAAATGTCACCAACTACCTAAGAAAGTACTTAATAAGATACTATGTAGTTTTCATATTTTGCCAACCACATTACAATCCCAAGCAGCAGCATTTTTGTCTCCTCTTGCATGCTGATTGTATCGCAGAGGCTCGAATCTTCAATATAAAATACGTATTATTGTATTGGAGCTTCATGATTTCAATGTATTTCTGTTTGTATACTAAGAATGAGGTACTCTTGAATCTTGATTTTGGTACATAACCCAATGTAATATGCAGTGTTTGCATGAGTTAGATTTAGATTTAATTACTGTCTTTCTCCTTTTGATAAATTTGGATTTTCAAACTATATACTCCCTCCGCCCCATTTTATTTGAGGTAGTTTGACTTGGCACGAAGTTTAAGAAAGAAATAAAGACTTTTTATCTAAGCTAGCGTTTGACCTTTAAGTTCTCAAATATTTTTGACAAATCTTAATTGTATAAAGTTTTTGGTGAAGTTTCACCATATGTTTGGCCCCAAGTTTTTCCAAAATTATTTGATTATTTCAAAAAATATAATTTATATCCATAAGTTTTAAAAATTATTAAAAATGTCCATAAATTTATATTATCATTTTATAATGAATATGCTCCATTAAAAAATAACATTATAACATACTGCCTCTATTCCTAATTACTTGTTTATTTTTGAATTAACACACCTATTAAGAAAATAATTATTGACATAGTCAGTTTACCATTTTACCCCTATTAATTATGAAATTGATGAAATAAAAATTTAAGATTTTCAAGAAGTTATACCTTTTTCAAAATAATAAATTTAGAGTATAATAGGCGAAATAAAAAATTGTCCTTTCTTGATTTGTCAAAATGGACAAGTAATTAAGGACATGGGGAGTAATTAATAACAATTAACAACAACAAAATAACAATATAGGCAATATAATACATTAATTGTATACTCAAATTTGTCATTGATTCAATTATAATTATAGTCCATTAAACATAAATTGTTCTTTTTTCTCAATTTTATCACTCAAATTTGAACTCAAACTTTTGCAGAGGAGATAGTAACAAATATTGGTTGGAATTAATAAATGATGAGAATTTTTTATAAAATATAAAAGTTTGGGATGATTTTTGAATTTTTCAAAATTCCCAATTATTAGAACTTGCCCAAATACTAGTTTTTTCTAGTATTTGGAAACTTGAGATACCAAGTTACATGACCAAACACCATTTCCCAAGTTTTTTTGGGCCAAACGGATCCTAAGTATATAAAAAAAAAAAGAATGGAGCCTCACAGTTCAAAATTTTCACTGACAACTAGTCAACTTGTTACTTTTCGTTATCCACTTTCCATAGAAAATTTGTGTTAGCCTAATAATTCCAATATACTGTTATACCTTTTCTGTGTTTCCTCTTGATGTTTGGTTTTGGAAGATCAAAATTAAAAACAAGAGGAATGTATATCTTTCCAAGGATAAGGACAATCGTATTTGTGATGTACTATTATTACTACTACTTATTTTCAGTTGATTATGCTGATTCCAGGTGCACAGAGGGCTGTGCCTTAGCTTTAGCTTCATATAGTATCTCGTTATCTGGTGATCTTGATTCTTACATTAGTAACATAGCCTACATCTTCTCGAACATCTCTATCCCTGAATTCCGTAACTATAACCCAAGTATCTTAAACGCCATTGGAAATCTTGATGGCAAATACCGGGTTAACGTACCCTTCTCCTGTGACTGCCTTAATAATGGCGACTACTTGGGCCACGTCTTTACATACCCTGTTTACTCTGGGTGCACTTATGATTATGTAGCAAGCGAATATTCCAATTTGATAACTGGAGAGTGGCTGAGTAGGATTAACAATTACCCGGAAATGACAGCATTGAACGTCATAGTGAATTGTTCCTGCGGGAACCAACATGTCTCCAAGGATTATAGTTTGTTCCTCACGTATCCAATGTTTCCAGGGGAAAATTTGACGTCAATAGCTTTGGCGACAAAAACAAGTTCAAAATTGGTCCAAATGTACAATCCAGGCGTCAATTTCAGTGCTGGCACTGGCCTGCTCTACATTCCAACCAGAGGTGACTATCCGTCATATTTGTTTTGTTCCACCACATTTTAATACATGTAGTAGTTCCGTATTGGTATGAAGGAAAATGTTTCCCTGAAAAGTAAGCAGGATAACTCAGTTCAATTCTTTTTACTTCCCATTTTTGAACCTTTCATGAGAGATTGATTCATTTTCTCATCTCCCGAATATTTTGAGGTCGATTGTCAAACTTGAACCTTAATTTTAATTTGGGGTTTGGTAAAAATATTGACATCCTTTTTTTCAATTGGTGGATAATTTTTCTGACCATGGTTCCTTGTTTTATGCAGATAAATTTGGGAACTATCCACCTATGCCAACCAGGTATCTTTTTCACACTTGAGTTGACTATAAATTGAACATCTTATCTTGGTGTATATTATTAACTTATTTGGTCATCCATGTTTCCCTCGACTTTGCAGCAAAGGTGACTGCTCTCATGTTTAACGCAACTCTAGTTAGTCATGGATTATTCATGCTATCCTAGCTTATTGATTATTCTGTACGAGTGTATGATCAGGCTCATCAGGTAAATTTATTGCTGGAGTGGAAGTAGCATCACTAGTTGCAGTAGCTGGAGTTGCATTACTCATATGCATCATTTACCTGGGATTTTATAGAAAGAAGGCACAAAAGATTGTGCCACAAATCTCAGCAACTGCTGATCAATCGCATCTATCTGGTCAGGCTAATTCTCTAGATTAACAAAAACACTTTTTGCAACATAAGTTCTTCCAAAGTTTTTTTCATTTTTTGAATTGATAGCTATTAGCTGGTGTTGTCTTGTTTCCTCTATTGTCTGTCTACTGTTGTTTCACAGGGATCAATAAATCAAATAGTAAATTTTAAGTGTTAAAATCAGTGTCTCACCTTTGGTAGATCGAAATTTTGTTAAACACTTCATGGCTTTGTACTTATTCCATATCTTGGGTTGTTATTATATAAACTGAGCAAGGCCTGAGGGAACTAAGGCAGTGACCTTTCTGATGGTGCCTTGGCAGGCTTCTTGGGCATAGCTGTGGACAAATCTACGGAGTTCTCATACAAAGAACTTGCTGAATCGACTAATGGCTTTAGCATTTCTAATAAGATTGGAGAAGGTGGCTTTGGAACTGTTTATTATGCTGAGCTGAGAGGAAAGGTCTGCAGTTCAAAAAAAATTTCATCAAATAACTGTAAAAATATGTCTGCCTGTCTCTTTTGAAGGTTGAAATCTTTCTATTCCCTACATATTTTTTCCTAAGCTATTTGTCATAAACAAAAAAAAGGTGAAGTCATGGAACACCTGTCAATATTGTTCATTCCAATAAGATGGAGTTTACTGAGGCCTGGAATGGACCCTAGCTTTCCTTTATAGGTAGCAAGTCAGCTGCTACTTTACTTTGTCCCTTGTTCCATGTGTTTCAGAAGACTTCATAGAGTCCTGGATTATAGAATTTAACTTTGGAGGAATAATATGAGAAGTGTGATAAACCTAGAGAATCACAATTTATAAAAGCTACGATTATTACGAAGAATTATTAGTTATAGATTATACAGTAAAATTTAAGGTTGTTATACTGCAACTGGATATGTTGGGGGATTTCTTATTGCATAAACTGATAATAACTTACTTACAAATGGACCTGTGCTACTATGACTTGAAAGGGGGAAACTCACCGTTCAATGAGACATTTCTATATTTTTTCTTTTTATACTGTGAATTTCTGCTAACATATACTGAAAACTATGATACAGGCAACAGCAATAAAGCAAATGAATAGGCAGGCAAAAACTGAATTTCTTGCTGAACTGAAAATTTTGACGCGTGTTCATCACTTGAACCTGGTAATTATCAATATCTTCTCTGTCAGTTGAGATTGCCTTTAGAAGCAGTTCTATTTCTTTTGATGAGCACAAGTATAATGCTAATCGGGGTAAATGATGCAACATCTTGACCTCATGGCATTCATGTTTGATATTTGAAAGAAAAACTTGTTTTTCATCTACTTCATTAACCGCCACAAATAAATAACAAAAATGAGAATCTTTTCTTATTCAGTTGATCAATTTTAATCAATCTAGCCCCAAGTATAAACGAACTTTAAAATTGATGGTATGTCATATGACAGTAAAAAATACAACCTTGTAAGAGATGATTCATGATTTATTGGCCACATTTTTACTGGAAGTTCTAAGTCTGGAATTGTATGTATATCATATACTGATCTGGTAGGGAACTGGGAAGTTTAATGATGTATTATGCTTATTAGTTTGCTTGTTTGATTTTTTGCTGTCACTGAATGCATGCAGGTGTGCTTGATAGGATATTGTGTTGACAGGTATCTCTTCCTTGTATATGAGTTCATTGACAATGGTAATCTAAGCCAACATCTACGTGGTATGGAACTTAATGAGCTATAGCGATGTGATGGAATAGTTAATTCCTTGTTTTTCCCTTCTTTTTTGCATTGGAGATGTTTATAAGCTTAAGCATTTGTTAGTCACTTGATAAATCTATCTCCAGGGAGGGACACACTGCCATGGTCAACGAGGGTGCAAATCGCACTAGATTCTGCCAGGGGTCTAGAATATATACATGAACACACCGTTCCTGTCTATATCCATCGTGATATTAAATCAGCAAATATCCTGATAGACAAAAACTTCCATGCAAAGGTCTTATTAAGGCCCCTAATCTTTGTTTTTTGACCAATATATTTAAGTGCTCTCCTGATTGGTAAATCACTTACTTACAGGTTGGAGATTTTGGCTTGACGAAACTGGTTGAAAATGGAAATTCAACTATACCTACACGTTTTATGGGTACATTTGGGTACATGCCACCAGAGTAAGTTTTTTCAGTGTACAAAATGTGTCTTAAACATAGGAAATAGCTGCTGCTGAATGAGCTTATTTAATAAAGAACCTGGCAATAGGTGGTCTCTATGGTAACAGAGTTGACATTTAAGATTAATGTATCAAAACTATTTTGTCTTTCTGATGTACCGGTACAGGACAGACTGGTTCTACTGGAATTCGAACACAAGACCCCATACAAATCTTCCAATTCCTTGACAGTTGCACTAGAGACATTTTTATGTCAACGGAATTCAATAACATATCTTTACACATTCAATTTTTCAAAAATATAATGTACATATATAAGGTGGAAACGTTTTGCTCTTGCATTTCCTTAAAACCATATTCTGAAAAGGCTGAGGTTCTATCGGGAAATAGGACCTCACAAAGGTAGGGGTAAGGTCAGCGTATATCCCGCCCTTCCAGACCCCACTTGTGGGACTATACTGAGTATGTATGTTGTTGTTGCTGTATATAAGCTGGAAACTTTTTAGTTGAACTCCCTCAGACGAAGTTGTTTATATTATTCCCCATGCATCTGATGTATCACAGATAGATAGTTCCAATAACTATTGCTGAAATATGCAGGTATGGTCATTCAGGAATTATCTCATCTAAAATAGATGTCTATGCTTTTGGCGTTGTCCTTTATGAACTAATTTCGTCAAAGGAAGCGGTAGTCAAGGAAGATGGTATAGATGAAGCAAGAAGCCTTGTTGCATTGGTAACTTTGCTCCAGCATATTTCTTAACAGAATGTTATCATTTGCCACTTACATGACCTTCTCACAGATTTTATCCTCTTGCTAGTATTACTTTGTCTATTGCACCAAATTTACGAGCTAATGCTGATTGTTCCGTGATAATCATAGTTTGCAGAAGCTCATAATCATCCAAATCCAATTGAAGGCATTTCCAGATTGATAGACCCCAAACTCGAGGATAACTACCCTTTTGATTCAGTCCAAAAGGTACAAATTACATTTCTTTCCTACACTGTGTACCACCTTTTGTTTCTTTGCTTCCTTGAAGCATTAAACACTTGTCTTGTCTATTACAGATGATACAGCTTGCTAATGCTTGTACAGAGAAAGATCATGAGATGCGGCCGACTATGAGATCTGTAGTGGTTGCACTTATGGCACTCTCACCATCAATAGAGGATTGATAATCTGACGTTCAGGGTTGGTCCTGCAGTGTTTCATTGATATGAGTTTCTTGAAATCAAGAGCTTAGTTTCAACTTCTGTAAAATTACTTTTCCTATTAAGATCACTTTCCAGTGTTTATTAAGAAAAATAAAAAATCACAGACTAGTTTCAGAAAGTTGTTGACACTACTGCTATTTTTTTGAGTTTTGAACTGCTACTCTCATGGTGAAAACATGAAGACAAACATCTTCAAGATAAAACAAGTGAAAAGCTTAAGGTATTGAAATTTCTCCTCCAAGTACTAATGTTGTTTGTTTGTTGAAGGAAGATGTATTCTTGATTTCTATTCCATGTAATGATAGTTCCTGTGGAGTCTAGTCCATTAGTCCTCCTCTTTGAAAGGGAAGAGCAAGAAGATAACCCAGTGCTCAGTAGTACTTTTGGCATAGCAATATACTGTTATGTTTCTTCCTCACTTTGCAATTTAGCCAAATCAAACAATAAAAATATATCATAGATTACATGGACAATTTAGCAGTGAGACACAGTATTCATGTTAATGCAACAGCATCACCCAAAAGGGAGAAGTAGCAGTATACTTTATCATACAATTACCCAGTAGCATTGCGCAACTACCAAATGCTATAATGCCAATACACTATAGATTGAAAAATGAGAATTGTCAACATAGTTTTGGGTCAATAATAAGCAACTTCACAACTCATTCGACATCAAGTAATTTTACTTGATTCCCTATCATTCAGCATCATGTTTATACATCCGCCAACTTTGCCAAAATAACCCTGATACAAATAAACATCAAACGACAAAGTCTAGTGTTCCAATCAAACACGGCAAATGAAACAGAAAAACAACTGTACAATAAATGATGATTTTCTTTTCATTTTCATTTTTTATTTTCTTTTTCTTTTTTTCAAAAAAAAAAAAAAGAACAATAGTTTTACACAGCATAGACTGTCATGTCCACACCAATCATTTGCTCCAAGAATTTTACTATACACCATATACAGAGAATCGGACAGGAGAAACCAGGTATCTTCACTCCGGCAAAAAGGAAATAACTAAAGTCATATTTCACATATCAGTCAGTAGGTTTCTTCTGAAATGTTCAGCTCTATTCAATGGCATATACGATATGTTCCACTGAATTGGCCAATATCCTACTACCAGCAATACTAAATGTTATTGAAATAAGATTAGGCTGGTATGACGCGGGAATCAGAGTCAGGCATCAACCTGCAACAACCAAAGGCAACTGCATTACATACAGAATAAGAAATAATGACCCTTGCAACTAAAAGTTCAGAAGATATTCAATACTGTCAAAGAAACTAGAGAAGGGCCCTTGGTAGGGAACTACCTAAGGTCAATCTGTTCTACTGAAAAAAGGTCATCTTTTTACCAAGTTCTAGCTGTTCTATTATAGACTAAATCTACTATACAATTTTTTTGGCCTAAATTGTAAAAGGCATTGCATGAAACAAATCCACGGTTTCATGAAAGCCTATGTTACATAATAAAAGGAAAAGGATGGAGGGACTAAGAAATAAGTAACTCTACAAGACAAAACCCACTTAATCACTCACCTTCTTCAAAGAAGTCAAACACACCTCCCAGCATATCATCACTTTCCCCATCATCATCAGGTTTCTCTTTGTTGCAAGGACTACTACTGCTATCCATATCAGCAACCAGTTCAGTTACCTCATGCAATTCATTGTTAGTTGAAGCCTTACAGTAGCCTTCTTGAAAAAATCGACCAAAATCTACAGGGTCGCATATATCTTCATTAACAGTTTGTTCGTCAATTATGTTCATACTCAAGTCGGAACGATTGGAACTTGAGTTTGAAGCTTCACTGGTAATGACACTGTTTGAAGACTGAACCTCTCTTGCACTGGTTCCTCCAGTGGAGAAGGATTCAATTTTCGGAGGAGATGGACTATTTACCACATAGCTTTCCTCAACGGAGCACAAGATATTTGGGGATGATTGCAGACCAGCAGGCATGTTCTTACTCACTTGTGGGGCTGCAGTATAACTAGAACTTCTCGACCCATCACTTTCTTCCATAGATAGTTCAATACATGGATACGAAATTGGCCCCATACCAACTTCATGTAAACGGGGAACTTGTGAAGAACCTGGAATCATATATGTTAGACACAGCAAAAAAAAAAATCAGCCATAAAACAACTATTAATGCTTAAAAGAAAAGTCGAACAGTCTAACCAGAAGGAAAGCTTTTCTCAGAGAGAGAGTCTGCCCTGGAAATACCAGTTGTGCCGTCCCCTGACTTCTCTTTACCAATGGAAGAGCTGAAGAATGGAAGGAAAAAAACAAATATTATTTAACTGCACAACACTAGTATTGACTGCATGAAGATGTACCCACTATTAAGAGCAATACTTGATAGAATAATGATATTTAGGTCCTTTGTAGAAAACAATAGAAGTAACTATAATAATCTATATGTCAAGAGATCCTAAGACAATCCTGTATCATTTGCGTATCAGAATCTAAATGTGTCCAAAACGTTATTTAACATAAAAAAAAAACATGTGATGATCAGACTGCACAGAAGGTACAGATTCCAACAACCATGACAAACGAGTGAAACAGAGTTGTCAAATGTGGGGATGCACAAAAAGGCACAAAGAAAGAGCAGATGAAGAAAAATATATGTGACTGAGAAAGAGAGAAGGGCTACAAGAAAGTAACTGTAAGAACATTACAATTATATGAACATATGAATTGAAAACCTGAAGATTAAGCAAAATACAGGAAGTAGAACCATGTCAATCAAGTTCCTAAATCATTATAAGTGTGATTCAAGTTCCGTGACAAATCATAATATATATATCAAACTTTATATTCTCAATGAAATGAATGAATAACATATTCGTCTATAATGATTTCATCAACAATTAATATATCTACTATGTTTATCATTGAGTGAGTCCATTGATATTGGGACGCATGCCTTGGTACAATTGTGCCTGCATTGACATATTGTTTTAGGCAAAAAGGAAACCTATCATTTGCATCTAGTTTTAGGGTTTACACAGGCCACAAACTATTGTTCGGCACCACTGAAGAAGATTCCCACATTACTGTTCAATGTAAAATCAGAGTTCTCTTCCAAACTTTCAGAATAAAATATTCCGCATACTGCAATTGAATGAAAAAGGCTAAATTGAGAATCATGACTAAGAAAAAGCAGAATGCGTGCTCTAACAATATGAACCAGTTGGCCCCATTGAGAAAGGACACGCGGGGCAATTCGTGGACATGAACAGCCATTCAGAAAGTTCCCATCAATCTATGTCGATAACACTGTCTTTTTAACTTCAATTTTGTTTAAAGGTCTGGACACAATTTTTTAGATGAGAGTTGAAAAAAGTGGTTTAATTTTTTTCGAGAACATAGAAAGAGTGGTTGTAACTTCAATTTTCTCCAAATATGGGGCAGTATTACACAAGCGTGAGAAAGTATTAAACTGCCCCATAAAGCTTCCATAATTTAACTAATCAAAAAAGAAACCAAGGGCAACCAGAAGCCCCAAGTTTGGTATGAATTGAGGCCTAAAAACAGAAGAAAGCTGTATAATGCAAGAGACATGGCGACTTATCTCTATATCTCTATACAATCATCAACTTATGTAGAGTCACTTAAATCACTTCAATATCTATACAACTCTCAGTGATGAATCAGAGGATGAACAGAATTTAAACCCACTGCATGCCTGCAGATAGACACCAGAATTCTTCAAAAGCACATATGCTACAAAAAAGTCACCCGCTGTTTCCCCCTATTATAGACTTCTTGCATCCAATTCATGGTGTCACTAGAATTTGACTCATGGATCAGCCAGCAATCAGGTTATAAACAAAGCCAATTAGAAATAGTTATTTCATGGACACATTATGGCTGAACCTTAAGGGATAAAGAAAAGAACATTCTTATACACATTTGCAGACTAGTTGCAAGATGGTGGAAATAAATTCCAACTTGAATGCACTGAATGGAAAGAGAAATGCAAGGGGAAATTACGGTTGCAAAGAACCTATAGAATCCCATAAAAACTGAAAACAGTATTACACAATCCTAAAGCAGTAGGCCTCAACTCTGGATCAAGCAGATAATGCGAGGTAAAACCCAATTTTCGTACACCTATCTCATTAGGTCAGGATCAGAAAAAACCTTAGCGAATATAAAAGTGCAAGTGCTACAAAATGAAGGACCCAGAATAGCTATTTCATTACCTATCATCTGACCACTTTGATGGAATCCTGTGGAAATGGTCAAACACAGGCAGCAGGTCTTTACGCCTTACTTCGACCTCATTGACAGGAATCTTCTCAATCTCAATCTCCCCAGCAGCAGAACTTCTAGAGATATCCTGCTCTTCATATCCAGAAAGACTCATGGTACAGAAGTACATCTAGAACAGATACAAATGACATCAGTACATATTCAGAAGTATAGAGGAACAGACACAATTTCTGCAAGAGATGATAACAACCTTGGACTTTTGCCAAATAGGTATCCTCCCAGACTTCAACTGCACCTCAGCATTGGAAAGGTACCAATGAGACCGATCACATAGTTTAGCCAAATCCTTTTCTCCTTTATCATCATCTTCAGAAAGAGAATCTCCCATGACTATGTCTGTAGTTTCACGGCCACCTAGAGCAATGCCATGAATACATTCCTCTCTTTCAGGCCAATCAGCTCTTCGACATACATCCCACCATTGAATGGGGTCAACTTTCACCCCAGTGTCATCCTCTTGCATTTGAACTACTGAAACAGTCTCTGTTCTCAGATAAGAGTCACCCTTCTCTCCACCAAATGAGGGCATCAATTCATATTGAATTAAGTGACCAGATGGAGTATAAGCCAAAAGATGCTCCAAAGCATTTAAACTTTTGGGAGCAGGTTGTTCCCGGCGTACGGAACTGTGAAAATCAGCAGCAAGAACACCAGAAGGCACAGAAATCTTTCCTGCTGCAGAAGATGCAGCATTGCTCACTGTATTTAACCAACCTGAATTCACATTCTTTATCCTGTTGACCACAGAGAGTGTGATAGGTGAAGGCGCTGCCGCAAAAGACTGCTGATTGACCAGGAAAGATGATCTAGACCACCATGGTCCTGAAAGAATAGGTTGAAGGATGGGCCCATCAACATAAGAATTTTGTAGTTGAAGACCAGTCTCACCGCCAAAAGGGGATAGGACAAAAAGATGGCAAGTTCCTCTAGATGAAATAATAGCTA